ACAGTGAATTGTACTGTTCACTTTCAGATAAGTGACAACTTGTGCTCACTCCATTTTGAGCATTTTCTTATGGTAACTGAGATTCTTAAGACAAGGAAAATGAGCCTGGGTTGCTTTTGAATTTGCCTGAACTCTGGGGTCAGAAACTATCAACCACGATRGATACCAAATCTCATATTCTATTCCACAATGTCATAAGACTTTGCTCTAACAGGCCACAGCAAGATGCTCAGTTGAAATAGCTTAATTTGTAGGTCAGCTCATGGCAACTAAACCTCATTTAAAATTCTTATTTGCCTAGAGCAGCTAAAGAAAATATTGACCAGAAACAGCCTTAAATCCTTTTAGAAATACGGGGGKAAAAGAAAGAAAGAATTTGGTCTAATGGACATATTCCCATACATAAAAAAATTTTGAAATTCAACTTAAAGAACCCTAGTCCTAAAATGCTAAAGAACATGAAACTGCAGATCCAATAAAGACWAGGGGACATTGTGAACAGGCCATGGCCTTAATCAAAAGACACATCAAACAAGAGCAGAAACAGACCAAGGGGTAAAGGAACTTAAATTTGTTTCTAAATTGTCAATTAAGAGTAAAAGGGATACTATTCTTATCCTTTTTATAAGATAATATGTAAGCAATGCAAAAAATTGTAAAGTCCAAAGAGGTACACAGTGAGAGGTCAGTTTCCTTCTTATACCACTGCCCTCCCGACTGGCTGCTCATCTTGGGTATCTCCTTTAGTGCTGGACCAAAGCCCTGGCCTTTGTTTTGTCTGCCTATTTGTTTTAACTTATAGAGGAAACCACCATTTTTTAAATGCCCCATTTAAAAGCACGGAAAGATCCTATCCTTTTATTCCTGAAATTACTTACTGAGGAAAGAAGCAGGGAGCAGAAATATTCCCCCTAGTAAGCTTCATTTTTAAAAATTGAATTTAGGTTCTACTCTAGGAGAAAAAAAGACAAATGTAAACCAGGGTCGATGCCAATCATCAAGAATACCATTCCCCTGAAACCTTCATGTGCCATAAACCACTGGTTACAGAGAACCCTACAAAATGGATGCTCATGTTCCTGAAATTAGATGCTCCAGAAGTTCCATTCAGAGTATTTTCACTGAAATCCAGGGGTCTTAAAACACATGTAAAAGCAAGTTAGGGGCTGCCCATTGTGCAAGGGATTTAAAACAGCCCACAAATGCTACTTATCACCCTGCCCTTAAAGCCTGTACTGGTTTCCCCTTCTGTTGTCATCATTTCCACAAAAGGCCTGAGTAGACCAACCAGGTGGGGTGGGTGGAGCCAAATACTTACCAAGAAGGAACTCTTGAGGATGCCCTGGGGGTGGGAAGCTAAACTGAAGGGCACCCAGAGGCAGGGCAGCAGGAGGTAGGCAGGCTTTGGTGCGGGTGATGGTAGGAATGTCTATGGGGGCTGGGAAGCAAGGATAAAGAAACTCACCAGAAAGCTTGAAATGGGGAAACTGAAGAGCCCAAAGAGAACAGGGAGGAAGCTCAGAGGGAGGGCTTGTCTAGAAATGAGCAAAACCAACATGGAGCAGCTGAAGCCAAAGCCAGAATCTCAGAAATAGATGAAAATGTGTATAAATATCAGACAGAGGTGGTTGGGGTTATGGGAGGTACCTGAAACCTTACATCTACTACAACCATCATGGCACATGTTGGCTGCTTTTTATCCTACAACATTGATCCTTGATATTTTGAAGATATTTTAAAGATCTTCTAAATTGTAGTCCTGTAAAGCATGATAACCGGTTTGGCCTCCATAGAAGTTTATCACATCTAACCTTTGGTGCACACGTTTTTCATTTGAGTAAACCTTCAGTTAATGAACTTTTAGATGATGTAATTATAGGATTTTAAAAAATCTAAATGTCTGAACAATGAATTAAACTTAGTCATCAAAACAGCTTGTTGAAGTTCCAGCCCATATAAAGAACAATGCCGTTTACAGGTTATTGGCAAAGGATGGTAGTCTTTCTGCTTGCCAGCCAAAGGCACAGCCATGTGCCAACTGCACAAATGCAGTTTATAATTCAGTCATGTGACCAGATTCAGAACTATGCAATTGTAAAACCAGTTTTCTTGATTTGGAGGCTGTCACAGTATTTCAAATGTTTATATAAGGTGAGGTTTTAATTACTGCATTTACACCACATTATCTCATTTGTATAATTCATATTTGCATAAAATGGAATCCTATCATACATATTAATTAGTATGGGACTTCATTTATTTCTTTATAGGGATTTTATCTGAAAATCCACCCTTTGCCTTCCTTCTTTGTCAAAAACCTACACATCTCCTTTCTCTCCCTAAATGATCTCACCCAAACTCATAGTTTTAAYTACCATCTATATGCTGACGACTCTCAAAGGAACATTTTCCAGGCCCAGCCAACTCTACATCTCTATAAGAACACAAAATGGACTTCTTAAAATTAACAAGGCTCACTGGGTGTGGTGGCGCACGCCTGTAATCCCAGTGACTTGAGAGGCTGAGGCAGGAGGATTACAAGTTCAAAGCCAGCTTCAGTAATTTAGTGGGACCCTAGGCAACTCAGAAAGACTTCGTCTCAAAATAAAAAATAAAAAGGGCTGGGGATGTGGCTCAATGATACCAGTTCAAACCCCAGTACCAAATAATAAGTTAAAAAATAATAAATATGGCTTAAATAGAACTCTTGAGTCCCTCTTTGTTCCCCATCTCAGCAAATGGCAACATCATCTACCCAGTCAAATGCTGTGCTCATCCTTGACCCTTCTTTTTGCTCATATCCCACTGAGGAGGCTCTTGTCTTCAAGATATACCCTGAGCCTGACCACTTCACATCATTCTGTCATCACTACACCCTTATCCCCTGCCTGGACMACTGCAAGGGTCTCCTAGAGGTTACACTGATTCTCCTTTTGTCCTCAAAGTCTATTCTCTGCTCAGAATCCAGAGGAATGATTTTGAAACACAAAAGACCATACAGGCTCTTGCACTTAAACTTCTCCAATGGAATCCAATCACTCTCTGGGTAAAATCCTCACTCCTTATCATGGCCTGTGCAATATGGGCCCCATTTACAAGTGATTTCATCTCTTTATCCCTCCCTATAACCACCTCTAGCCTAAGTCCAGCCAAACTGGCTGCCTTCCTGTTCCTCTAGCACGATAAATGCATCCTACCTTAAAGTGCTTTCTTTTCTCTTGCTGTTTCCTTTGTCTAAACACTTGTCCCCAGATTCCTTTACCCCTGCTGGTCTCTGCACAAGATGTCTCAGCCAATCACGCCCTTTCTCTCTCTCATGCCTGTACACACACACACACACACACACACACACACACACAGAAGCCTTTTTGGACTATTCTTTCAAAAAGAATCCCTTCAGTCCCTCACTTTGTTTTATTTTTTCTTAGTATTTATTACTACCTGAAAATACATTTTCTATTTAGTTATTTGTTTACTTCATTCATAAACCGTAGTGAGTACCCATCAGGTACAACTTAAAGAGCTGGAGATACAGCAGTGACTGAGGCGAGCCAACACCTCAGGCCTCACGGAGCTCACGTTCTTGTTTGTCAGCCTCACTCAAACCTAAGCCCCACTGTTCCTCATGTGATGAACAAATTCCCAGTGCTCAGAGCAGTGCTTTGGCACAGAGTAGGCACTGACACATGTCTGCTGAATGAGAGGTCCTGCCACCTGCAGCCATCTGCTTCCCTGGGACTCCAACTACAGAGCTCTTCCTGCCTACCAGATGGGGTTCAGGTAGGACCTAGAATGTCCACCTTGCTCACCTTATACACCTAGACAGAGCAGTATGGACAGTTAGCCTCTGTGGCTGAGTTGGGCTCCTAAATCTGGGCCTGTCTGTCCTACCTGCCTTTACCTTTCTGTTCCAACCGCAGGACCCTGCAAGCTCCCCAGGTGACCGTGCCACTGGGATTTGTCTCACTGGATCACAAGAGCACCCAATCCACATGGTGGAAGCTGATTAAACGTCGACTGGCCCACTCCCCTTTCCAACAAGGGGCTGGAGTCAAGATGTAGGGGTCACTGCTCACAGGACCTTCAGCATCGACCAGCCATCATGCCCCCAAGTATCCTCATGTCAGCACTGAACACAATGCTAAGGACATATTTTTGTCTCTTTCAACTACCTCGGAAACAAGATATTTACCAGGTGTGATGAGTAATTAAGTTTCTTCCAAAGGACATTTATTAACTGTGAAATGATCTGATCTCAAATAAAAATGAAGATCATTGTGTAATATAGTTCATTCATCTTTCAAGACAACAGCAGCTACAGTGGTAGAAACAAAAAAAGGAAAAGATAGAAAACATGAATCTCTTGAACCACTCTGGAGATCTAAGAAAACAGGTGTGTAAAATTCACATTACCAGCATATACATCTATGAGAATAATGTTCCCATTTTAATGCACTGGTTAACTAAGAGGTGCCTGGCTTTCCCCTCTCTCAGAGGATTAGAGGGTGAAGACGTCTATGAACATTATAAAAGCAAAGGGAAGAAGCCCCTGGCTAGGAGTTGGCTAAAATGGGATTCTAGCTTGAAAAAGTGTGTTAATAAAATTAATAAAGTGTGGAAGGAAAAAAAGAATTGTCCTTCTCTACATCTCAGAGCCAAATAGTATGGCCTTATACTTGCCCAGCACTTCATTTCCTTGGAAGCATTTCCAAATTCATTGTCTCTTTTAGTCTTCAAAGCAAACCACCCTGCAATGTAAACAGGGCAGGATACATTTCTCTAATTCACCTAAGTAATTCACCACAGTAAAAATGGTAAAATCCAGAAATATATAGACCCAGACTAGTGTCCTTTCTCCTCTAAGAGGAAGGTTAGCAGAGTTCTCTTCAAATCACATTCTGCAGTTGACTAAAAATATTTCCCTTTACTGCAGCAGAAGGAACACACATACCACACACACACACACACACACACACACACACACGCGCACACATATTCACCAGTGGCTTAAGGTGGTGGGAAGATGCATTGGTCCTGGAGCTCTGGGCAGAAAGGGGGTTTCACAAACTCTTCCAATGGATGCCAACTCCTGTAACGACAAATATATAAAATACCTGGTATGAATCAAAGACACTGTGGCCTTACCCCAAGGGGACCCATCTAAACACCAATTGCCAGGAACCCCATGTAGGTTCAAAGTCCCCATCCTCCTCTTCCAGGCCAACCCCCTTCCCCACCCTGACTTTCCACAGTAGAACAAGAATCTTCAGTTCATCCACAGAAATAGTCTCCTGAAGAATGATAGGAACTTTGGCAAAAAAGGAGCTTAAGAGATCATCTTCAACAGGAATCATAAACTAGTGGATCAACATCTAGCTTACAGAGGTGTTAAATGTCATCTGCAGGGTATGTTCAAAGAGTATGTCACATAAAATCCCCCCAGACTTCCAGCAAAGAGAGCAAGGAAGAAGAGGAGAAGGAGGGAAAGGAGGAGAAAGGGGAAGAAGAATATGATGATGATCTGTCAATATGACCCATATTTGTGTCTGTCAACAATCAGCTGGTGCAAAATAGCAGGTGCTCTTCACAGGCAGGCTTGGCTGCTCCTTACTGTCTTCTCGACATATACAGAGGAACTGTGGCTAACATTTATAACTGATTTTGCATTATTGTTTAGGTAATGCCGAAATATTTTTATCTACTCATGATTCTAAGGCTACCAGAAAAAAAAAATATATATATATATAAAATAAACAAATCCATGCACATACTTGTGTGTCTCAAAATTAATACTTAGCTGTAAGAGAAGTATTAACGTCAAGGAAACAGTTGAAGCTTCTACTAATAAGTCTCCACTAAAAACAGATATACCTACTAAAATGTTTTGCATTCCTTTACATGTCACCAAAGAATATAAGAGTAAAGTGTAGCCGGTTCCCTAAGAGTTTATTTTTTAATATGACATTTTTAATAATTTCACTGCTTTAAATACAAATTGGGGGGAACTGTCCATAAATGCCATTATTTCAAAAGTGCTTAGTCTCAAACTGTCTAGAACACTATGCTAGAAAAATCTCCCTTAATATGCACCTTAAATATAAGACTATAAATAAGCTCAGGTATAAGGTACTGGCACTGTAATAAGTGAGCCACTTACTCAACTTCAAGTTGGTGGGAATTAATTATATCACTCTGTCAAAGAATTTACTAATTCATTAACTCAACAAATATTTACTGAACCCTGTAATTACCAGACAGCGTGTGAGGTAACGGAAATTCGCAAGTGAGGAAGACCCCTACATTCATTGCTCTGCCTGAATTAAAGACACATCCAGACACTCCAAACAAATTACAAAACAATCAGAGAATATAATGATCTGGGCATGCATGTGTGTCATGGGAGCCCTGAGAAGAGGCACCTAATGCAGAGATGAAAAGATACGCTGTAGCATAGAGGATATCCTAAAATTGGATGGGATGGCCAGGTGTGAAGGAGATGGTAGAGGGAAGGTGGGGATCCCAGACCATGAGATGATATAGGCGAAAGCAAGGAGGTGTGAGCAGCTCCTCCAATTTGATCTTGTCCAGATCTTTTATTACCTTGTGGGGCTTATGCCCCTTGCCTTATGCCACATCACCCAACATCTACTGGGCTTTGATACACAGCTCTGATGCACACTCAGAACATGTCTTGTATGTTCATATCAAGAATTCAACCAAGTCAGCCCTGCTCCCTGGCAAGGCCTACTTATAATTTACTTGTGACAACCGCTGTTGTCCCAGAATTTGTAGTGTCCAAGCAACATGGTGGTAGAAACCTTGAACCTTTTATGAGATCTCTGAGAAGACAGTAAATAAAGATTTTTTTTTTTTCTTGTACCAGTCATCGGTCCTGCCTATCTCCACCCCAGGACCTGGATTTCCATGGCCAGAAGCTACTATGCATTCAAGCCCCAGAATGAATGTTCCTGAGAAAATGTCTCAGAATATCCACCCATCAAAATCCTGTGTGTGTGGCTGGGGATGTAGCTTGGTGGTAGAGCGTCGGCACAGCATTCACAAGGCCCTGAGTTCAMACCCTAGCAACACACACTCATGTGCACAGAAAAATCCCCAAGTGGAGTTCTCTTCATGTATAAGAAAGAGATGAGCCACCAGCCCTGATCCCCACTGAGATGGAGTCAAGAGAAAGCAATTTGGATAAAGCAGCTTGGAAAGGGGCTTGAAGAGGAGTAAAAGCCCCTTCATGGTTGGGGTTCAGGTTCACAGTTTGAAGGCAGTATAAAGAAACAAGGAGGTAGTGAGAAGAGCTTCCCTGGATGCGTAACTGGTGGGCCAGTTCCCAAATCTGGCTAAAAATTAAAACCACCTGGAAAACTTAAAAAACAAACAAACAAACAAACAAAAAAACCCTCCTAAGACCCAAAGGCATTAAAACAGACTCTGGTTTAGAGGCCCCAGAATGGGTCAAAAGTCTCCCACAGGTGATTTTGATGCCCACTTGGAAAAGAGTATATTTCACCCAGAGGCCTCAGAAACTCCAGAACAATGTCTCTGAGGTCATTAATTAACCATCCTCCAGGAAAGATCCAACAATTCAGGCYGAGGGCAGCTGCATATTCTTAGTATGTTTACCCACTCTGTACTGCATTATGACAACCATTGCTTCTTTTTATTTCAAATAAATTAAAAACAGAATGGCAACTGGGTAAGTGGAGGGGACCTTTGTGTGCACACCAGTGCCTCCTATACTCAGCCTCAGTGCCTCCAGACAAGGGGGCTGTCCAGTCTCAGCAGTAGATCGGTGCCTTCACATACCTGTGCAGGCTCCTCTGGCAGAACAAAGGACCTGAGGATGTCTGGTCATCACCGGGCCTTCGAGGAACAGTTCTAAGGTGCAAGCACTCTGACCAGATCCTTCCTGCCATCAAAGGGCAGGACACTGAAGATCAATGCAATGTGTGGAAACCTGCCAGGTCAGCTGAACACTCTCTTTCCAGATTTCCACTTTGTGGTCATGTAACAGCCTGAGCAGTCCCATGCCAAGAATGGCAAAGTAAATGCCACGTACCACAAAGATGACAGACAGGAGTAAGTTGGTTCTCTGAATGGACCAGCCTAGAGAGATCTCTTCCCAGATATCACCAGGTACTACCAGGCGACCTTCAGTCAGCCAGTCCCACAGAAACCCAAAGCTGGTCAAGGTCAACCTTCCCCATCACAAGGCCCACAGTATCCACGCTATCCTTCAACAGAAGACAGACACATTCGGATGTCCCCTTCAGCCCAAGGAACCTCCAGCTGAGCCATAATGCAAATTGGAAGAGTTTGGGAAGGGAAGGAAATCTAGGGGAAGCTCAAGACAGTAATTTGCCTCCTTCTCTGGCCCTCATTTTTAAAGTGGACTGTTCATTTTTTCTGTTGTTCCATTACCCTGGCCTAAAATAAGACATTTCCCTGGCCCAATGTGCCAAAAGTCATCACAAGTGTTGTTTCAGACCCTGCCAAAGACCTTGAACCCTCACCTCTCTCATCTTCATCCTCTTCTCTATCCCACCCCAAGGATGTAGAGCAATATTGGCTGTTGTGAAAGTCACCTTTTGCCACCCTCATTCCTACCAAACATCAATCCTGACCATGCAACCTGCTCTGGACCAACAGGAACTCCAGTGTTCAAAGTGCACCCAGCAACCATGCATCTCTTTTACAYGGCACAGGCAACTTCTATTTTTTTTTCCATTACTTTTCCACCAACCTAAAGATGGACAAGGATCCAGCTCATATTTGTTTTGCCTTTTTGTTGTTGTTGTTTTGAAATTAGGGAGTCTTTGTTTGACTATAGATCACTGTATCCCAAAATTGTACCTTGAAACTCTTCAGTTTCCTTTAAAACATACCCCAAACTTCATGCCACCCAACACAGACTTGGCTCCTCTCATTTTTTTTTTCTCTGAATTCAGGACCCAAGTTGCTTCCTGAGCTCACAACAGACTCTCTCCTTCTCCTTCCACAAGTTCCAACTCTTCTACCAACAAACCCAGAGAGTCTAGAAGAGAAAATCCCCAACTGGCCTTGAGGCTCACCAACTGGGAAGGAAACAGATCAGAGTAACTACTTCATTTTAAAAATCATACCACACTAGTTATCTGAGATGACTCCCTAATATGTGAAATGAATCCCAGCACGCACAGGCATTCTTTTGAATTCAGAAGGAATGTCCTTATTTGCAGGACAAATCCCACTGGGGCTGAAACCAGTGACAACATCCTCAGGCTCTGAACCCCACTGAAGCTCTGTGTTGCTCTCCGCTGAGGTGGCTCCACTTCCCAAACACCTCTTGCCTCTGGTCCCTGGGCCCAGCTGTCCTCCCACCACAACCACTGGCAAAGGAAAGTGAATCTTCAGGAGCTTTTTAAAGCTCTGCCACCTACTCCACAGATAAAGCAGGAGGAGGGAGAATAAATGTTTCCAAGTTCCCTGAATGACACAAAGCTCATAAAGTACAACAAAATTAGTTGAAAAATAGCAAAATGATTTTAGCTTCCCTTTAAAAAAAAAAATAATAAAGCACGCCTACTTTAAATGATTCACCGTGACTTCATACTTTCTCTTCCACTAAGATATACATTCTTCCTCCCCAAGCTGACGGCTCTGTGCCTCCATCCTAAGACAGTGTAGGGCCAGATCTCCCAGGGCCTTGTACTGTATGATTCGGTTCCCCAGAGAACATTTTGACAAAGTCAGAGTATGCTCTGTAGAAACTACCTCTTTCTATTTGCTGGTCTCTCTGCCTGACAATAAAAAAATAAAAAACTCTTCCTGACTCTTGCCATGGCTAGAGCATTCTCACCATTGAGAGCTCAGATCAAATATCACCTCTCAACTGAGTCCAGCACTARCAACCTAACCTGCTTACCAGCAAGAGTCACTTTCTTAGGAGAACCTATCACCATCCATTACTATCTTATTAAACCATATTATGGGTACAGGGTAGAGGGCAGGAATCTTGCCTGATTTGTTCATTGCTGAAACCCCAGCACTACAAAAGTTCCTGGTGCATAGCCAGGTGTGCTGGTATATGCCTATTAT